TCTGCAACATGGGCCCATTCTGAATAGAACTGATAAACAATCCCAATTTGGAAGGATCAACAATGCTGATTTCGATGAAGGTAAGCTGGATTGCCCACTTTTTGATAAAAATTTCTTGGAAAAAAGTGAGAAAGGAATTTTTTAAAGCACTAACTGTAATAAACGTAGGAGTTTACATTATATAGAATAGTATATTTAACCAAGCTTCTATCTTTGCTGTTGCTTAGATATAGCTTGACAAAAACTTTCTTGGTTGTAGCCAAAGTTACTTTTTCGATAACTCTATAGACTTCTACCGAAGAGCCAAACTCACAAGAAGCTGTTTTTTTCAACTCTTTTTCATATGGCCTACATGCAATCTGAAACTCTTGAACCCAGACGCTATACAGCAAAGTTTTGTTGTGTATAAACATACTAACTATATAATTTTCGTAGATCAGTATATATGAAAAAATTGGTACAGAGGATCATCGAAAAGAGTGTTGAGAATTATTTACAATATTTTGAAATTCTTCTTAAATAAAAAATCAATTCGTTTTAGTCTAGCCTTTCTGTAGTCACTCCTTTGGTCACAAAAAAATTTGTGCTGTTAAGAAATTTTAGCCACATCAAGGTTTAAAATTTATATTATCCAACCTGAAAAAAAAAAAAAAATTATCACATAATAAAAAAATTATTGACTATATAGAAAAACATTTTAAAATAGCCAAAATTTAAACTAATTTATACTTTTTTTTTTACCTTTATTTTTATCTTCATTTTTAATAAGGTCATGATCGAACAGCATACTCCCCTTAATGTTTGAACAATAGAAAATTTCCCTACTATGTATAATCTTTCTGTCTCATCAGTATTTGGCATTTTTACTGCTCCCTTACAAAATTCAGTCATCATAGATAATGATGATGCTTTTTTTCATCTAAAAAGAGACTCCTATGATGGAGTAACTTCGTCCAAGATCACTATGTCTGTTTTGTGCAAATATAACCCCAGAGGTTGTCATTCAAATGTAGCAGACAATTTAAGACGTTTCCCGATCGTCTCAGTCGCAGGTGAATTGGTTACGTTAAAAAGATCAGTGTGCATTTTAAGTGACGTCATCGAATGGACCTATTCAAATCAAGTAGGTTCCAACACTAATGATGATACAGCTTCTTTAAAAAACAGAAAAAGAAGGAATGAAGAGTTGAAAAAGTTGGCAGAAAAATTTGAAGCCCCAAATGTTCGATACTACAAAGGGAAAGAGAAAATGGACGCTAATGCTCAAAAAGAGAGTTCTTCAAGGGTAAAAAGGTTGAAAAATGCTATTGAAAACGTTAAAGGTAAAAAAAGAGAAATAAAAAAAAATTATATAATATAATTTCAGAAACTATATATATATATATATATTTTTTTTTTATACACTATTCATCAAGCAAAACATGCTCGAATAGATAACCTCAATTATTTTTGAATTAAGTATATAATTCCATAAATTTCAATTAGCATTATAACATTATCTTGAGAAATCATTAAACCACCTTCATATCTTGAGAAATCGTTAAACCACCTCCATAATATAATAATTAATAATTTACATGCTTCGAACCTTAATCAACAATTTCTTACAATGTTTTGTTTTCATCTATTAATCGACACTAAAAAAAAAAATACAGGGACCAAAAGTCAAAAAGTCATGATGGACCCAACTCAGGATTATGAAACCTCTGCTGAACAATTGCATACTCAGACAATTGATTGCCCGAAAGACCTTTATGAGGATGATGAAGAATCCAAAATGCTGAAAGATTAAATGTCTAGCAACAAACTTCTGAAAATATAATAAATTTTAGTATAATTAGAAATTTTAATTAATTAAAAATAACCTAGTATATTTTTTATTTTTAATAAATCGATTATTACAAACCAACTTATAGTAAAAATTATCAAATCTAATAAAATTTAATTATGTTGTCAACACGTCTAATAATTTGCTAAAAAAAAAAAAAATTAAATTATTTTGAATTAAGTCCTGCATATAAATCATGAATAAAGACCGTAATAATTACATCAATTTAATAAACTACATTTTGAGTCACTTATTCAAAAAAAAAACTAAAAAAAAAAAAGATTATAAATAAAAGCAAAAACTTGGAATAAAAAATAAAAAAAAAAAAAATTTTTACAAATCTATCTAATTACATAAAAAAATGATTTACTTATTTTTATTTTACTAAAAACTTTAACATGAAAACAAACTTAAATTATACAATTCAAAAATTCTCTATCCATGAATATGAGAATGGTATATCGTCAAACTCTGATAAAACAAATTCGGATACGGCAAATATCTTCACTTTTTGTCCTTACATCTATCGAAATGAAATAAATCAGATTGAATTAGTCAATCCAATATCAACATTTCATCATGTCTCATCTACTGTCCCAGAATTGGTTTATCCAATGTGAAGACCAACTCTATCATTAAAAAGGCTTCTTCATGAGTTTGAACCAAAAATATTACTTGATCATCCCCACATTTCCTGTTGCTATTGCTTAATTTTAATGTTTCATTCTGCAACCTAATGGGTAACATACGACCCAAAAGAAGATTACACTTTAACCATAGTATTTTCTAACATGACTCTTCATTTTCGACAATTTGCTGGTAAACCCACTAAAATAGCTATATGTAATAGTTGCAAAAATCCTAAAACCAGAAAATTTCTTCTCATTCTATCCAGTATACTCCAAGAAATAAGTTTGGTCCCAATGCATCACAGGAAATATCTTTCACCAGTTCATATGACATGCTTATTAGGTTGTACTCCTGGATCAAACCCTTACACTACATATCAATTTTTACAAGATGAATTTTTCCTAAATAAAAACATTCATTCACTCGAATTGTATTCTGGCATGATTGGCACCTTTTTGAACATAAACGAACCAGTACGTTGATATCATGAAACCCTTCCTGGAGCAAGCAATTGGTTAAAAAGAAACAACTCTATATTCAAACAATACAGTAATCTACTCGTTATTAGTTCTCCATCATTATCAACCCCGTCACCTCTTCCCTTACCTTTAGCAAGACGATCACAAGAAAATACTGACACCACTACATCCGTAAATAATTACAATAACCCTGACATCATAATTACTCATAATGCATTTCCTCCCGAAACACACGACAAAGATCAAAGATACAATAGACTTATGGCCGGGTTTATGAAATTAGACAACCTAACTTTACATATAACCTACAGTGACCCTGACCTTGAAGTGTTAATCTTTCCTGACCTATTTTTGACTGGGAAAGGTCATTATGAAGATATTCGCAATTAATTAAACTTTTATTCAAACACAGAAAGTTATGAAAAATACATTAAACTAAGGATGCTATGCCCTGATTCAAGGTTCAGATTATATTGGTACTGGCTATACTGGTCTTACTTAAATCTTGAAAAGTAACGTAATTTTCAATACAGCTGTAAACTGTTAAAACAAAAACACATATCGCAAGAACATTATCTAACAAGAGCAGAATTAATAGGTATACTTATAAATATTAAACTATATATAATATAAAAATAAACCCAAATAATTAAACTAATATATATATATATATATATAATTTCAAAATTTCAATTCAATTACCTTATAAGTCTATTTATAATCTACTCTAACTTATATTATCTTAAAACTTCTTTGTAGAAAAAAGCGTATGTACTGGCCAACCGATAATTGACAAATTAAAGACTATCGCAATCTGCTCAAGCTTAAGAACCGCATTGCCTTACTTTAAAAAAAAAGAACTTCAAGTAACCACTATGCTCCGTTCTTACAGATTACTACAAATTTTCTACACTATAACAATGGCCAAAGATAAATGGATCCATCTCAGAAATATACTTTCAATAACTGACAACAGAGACCCTTTGCTAACCAACCGTCCACTACACATTTATCATTTCTATAATCACAAGCTCTCCAACATATGTAACAAATTGTAGAAAAATAGTAAGTTAACACAATGGGGCAAATTCAAAAACTATTTCGAGCAAAACGAATTCCAGAACAGAGGCACCATACATACCCATGGATTCGCTTACATGAGCGTCAAAATACCAGAACTTATAGAAAAAAACATAATAAGAGCTGACTTACCAGACCAAATCCAAGAACCTGAGCTTTACTAATTAGCCATGACGTTTCAAATTTATAGGTAAGCGCCCTCTTTATTTATCGTTAAAATTCTCTAAATTCGATTCTGTATGAATAAACATACCTACAGTTTAATCAAAAAATAAAAAAAAAAATAAAAAAAAATAAAAAATAAAAAAAGAATATTAATATGTATATAGATAAATATAAAAAAAAAAAAAAAAAATAATGTTATCAAAAACACATAAAACCATATCCATCTAACAATTTTATAGTACATAAATTCGAATCAAATTGATCAATCTTACTTACGAATCATATCTTTAATAAATATACTCTCCTTAATACCATAACCCGAAACAAACATAGGTGTCATCCAAATAAATGCGGCAGTCTCACCCTTAACAGAGAACCTTGCAAAAAAGGATTCCCTCAACCCTTATCTGATACAACCTATAGAAATAGCCGATTACTAAGATATATCTACAGAAAAACAAAAGAAGAAGACTGCTGGATAGTGCCTTATCACTCTGAAACTCTATTAATATGGCAAGGTCACATTAACTTCCAATATGTTACTACCACAGGATTCGCAAAATACATAACAAAATACATGACAAAGCCTGAACTCTATGAAACCTTCGACATCGATGATCATGATAATTATCACACCCACATCCAAGCAAGAAGACTAGGAGCAATGGAGTTGATGATTTTATTTCTCCAATATCAAATAACCAGATCAACAGTCTGTGTTCAATATCTACCCTCTGTGCCTTCCCACTTATGCACTAAAGCAGTAAAACCTATCCATCTACAAATGAGAACACAAGAAAATGGAAACGATGATGATGAAAAACCATATTGGGATGACACAATAGATAAATACTTCGATCGCCCTACTAACAACGAATTCATAAATATAACATACCCAGAATACTTTCAAAATTACAATATAAAACTTAAACCCTCATCACAGTCCACAAGTCAATTTTCTACAAGAGACCAAAAAAACCGTTTCATAACGAAAAGAAAAAAACCTTTACTTCTAAGATTTGTAAACTATAAAGTAGAAGATGGTAATTTCTAAAATAATTTCATACTTTAAAACTAAACCTACAACTTTAAATAAAAAACCTATATAAATATATATATATAAAAAATATAGATAAATAAAATAAAATAAAATAAAAATAAATAAAAATAAAAAAAAAAACTCACTTCCAATTAACTATTATACTAGGCGAACCTTTCTTTTTTCAACATCTTATAATGAAAATTCCTTGCTACTCAGAAGAAGAACTCATCAGGACCTACCCAAGCTACTTTGAAAAATTCAAATCTTTATTTCCCGACGAATATGAACCAGAAATTAATAAGCTAACTAACACCACTGTAACTCAAGAGCTTCAAAACTCAAACGCCTATAAAGAGATCATAAAAAAAATATTGACTAATCTAAATAATACAGAAATCCACGACCTAATCCTTAAATAATTAATTACGTTAGAGCGCAAAACTCCTTCTATTGACCCATATCAAACATTATTGCTAGACGAAGACCAATATCTGATTTATGATATTCTTTGCAATTTGTGAGGTCCAGTATATAAAGGAAAACACCTCTATTTTTTTTTAACTGGATCAGTCAGAACAGATAAGTCATACCTATTACACATTATAATCAACCTTCTAAAATCGAAAAAAATCAACCATATCATAATCGCACCAACCGGTGTGGCCACTTAGAATATTGGAGGTAAAACCTTTACTTGGCATTAAAAATAAGAGAAACACTTTTACATTACGAGACCTTAATAACATATAATCAAACTGCAAAAGAAAATTTGAAGAAGATCGAAGCAATAATAATTGAAGAGATATCAATAGTCTCTTGCGAATTATTCTCATTTATAAGTAACATGTTTAGTTCGATACATGGTAACTCGATTATATTCGGTGGAGTACCTGTACTTCTAGTAGGTGATCTCTTCCAACTACCACTAATAAACACCCAATACGCATTTCATTCCTCAGTCTGAAAAAGCTTCTTCCTCTTATTTCTTACCCAACCCAAAAGACAAAAAGACGATCCAAGATTTTATAATCTTCTCCAAGAACTAAGATACGGCCACCTATCTGAAAATTCAGAAAAAATAATCATTGAAAAAATCGAAAGCTTCAGTCTGAAATACAACACCATTACATTTACTCACCTCATAGGCATACGAGAAACTGCTAAAGAAATCAATAAAATAATATGCGAAAACCTTTCAACCAACATATACAGAATCACACGAATAACCTCAAAGGCTGTTGACATCCTTAACCATAAACCACTCAACACAAATAACTGTAATGCTCTTATCTTCAATCGTTATATGAACTTACCTGACGAAATAATCTTAAAAGAAGGCGCAAGGGCCATGTTCCTAAATAATAAGTTATTTGATCATAACATTTGTAACAGCACGATCGGCATAGTTACCAAAATAGTAAATGATCAGACCATCGAAGCCACATTCCCAACCGCCACAGACACGTCAAACTAAACATACAAAAAGAAAGAGTATATTTTAATATTAATGGAAACCCCGCTTCAAGATACCAATTTTCTCTCCAAAACACGTTTGCCCTCACAATCCACAAAACTCAAAGATTAACTTTACCTCACATTACACTGAACATAGATCATAAAATATTCACAGAAGGTCAAGTCTACATTGCAATGAGTAGAGCCCCAACATGGGAATCTATCGATATCATTCACTTCGACTTTAACTCCATTAAAACAAACAGATCAGTAATAGATGAATACATGAGATTAAAAGAAGTACGCAAAAAAGGGCTAGTAAGCATGTGAAATAGATAATCTTTCGTTAAAAATCATTCTTTAATACAACAATGATAAAAAAGGAAAAAAAAAAAGAGAAAAGAAAGATAATCAAATTAGTCCATCTACTCCTTTTAAAGAACTATATGCATAATACATGTGATCAAAATTAAAATTATACATATATAAAAAACTTTTAA